ATCCCTGCCTTCCCCGGAGGGCACCTGGAGGGACACCAGGGGAAGGCAGCAGAGCAGACAGCTCTCCATCTCCCAGCCCAAACTCTTCAGCTCTTTGTTCCCACTCCCCTGCCCACGATGACAAGGCTGTCAGTGGGTTTTCATCACCCTCCTAGCCCAGGGAGCAGCGAGAGCTGCCGTGGGGAGCCGGAGCCTGCGGCACTGCAGATGGGCTGGAGGCTCCGGACGCGTTCCCAGCCCACGGAGCAGTGTCTCTTGGCTGTAAATCCCTGAGCTGGCTGGGGGAAGCTGGGACAGCCTCCACCTTCCTGCGAGCCCAGGAGCTGCCTCGGGCCTGGCAGGGATCGCTGCCGGCTGGAAGAGCAGGCGAGCAGAGCCGTCTGCTTCTCCTCGGGAGCACCGGGACAGGACTGCGAGCACAGGGATAGAAATAGATCTGCTGTCTGCAAACGGTGCCCGAGGAGGGGAGAGAGCTGCACCCACAAACACAGACAGCAGCTGAGCCCTCCCAGTCCTGACCGATGGGCTGCTAACCCCTCGTGCCCCTCTTCACCTGTGCCATTTGGGTGAGTCTCCTGCCTGTGTCTCCAGGGGAAGGGTCAGCTCCTCCTGGGGAGCCGACCGTGTGATCTGTCGCCCTGTCCCTCACTGCCACGCACAGGAGTGACACACGACTCTGCATTCTGTAATTCTGCGCTTCCAGCGACTCCACAGCTCACCCTGCTCGGCAAGAATCCCTGCAAACCGGGAGCTACCTGAAGCTGATCGGCCCACGGACTGTGCCTTTGGATCAAATGTTCCTGCTGGAATCCTCTCCCTGCTGGATTTCCATCCGGCACTGGGAGGTCTCTCCCCCCGGGGCTGGCTGGCGGCACAGCACGCTGAGGGCTGTTGTTCCAGCACAAACACAGCCATGGAAAAGAGCTCAGTGCGAACAGAACTCGCGTTGGGTTGGGAGGATAAAATTGGATTGGAATTGGATATATTCACATACATACCACTGATCTCACCCAGCCTTGCTTTACATATGCTGGATATCCTGCTGCCAGTGCACAGGAGCAGCTCTAAAATAAGCCAAAGGTCTGGAAATGGAGAGCAGGATGTTCAAGTGGAATTAGGATTTCACCTCTGGGTGTGTTGGAGAGGGGTAAGGGCAGAGCTCTGCGTCCTTCCCACACACTGAGCCTGTCCCAGGTGTTCCTCACAGTGCTGTTTTACAGCACCTGGGACATATCAGGGGCTTAGAGCATTGGTAGGAGCTGCAGGTCAGGGCTGCTGTGTTCTCCAGTGGTGTGGGAATGTGCCAGAGTGTTCTCCTGCCTCTGGAGCAGGGAGTCAGGCTAGGGACACCCAGGGCACACACCCCTCACCTCACATTCATGTCACCAATCTGGCCTGGAGATCCAGTAAAGGTTTGCCTCAGTTTCCCTCATTGCCAAAAGGGAGGGCTAAAACCTTTAAGTCCTTGCAGAGGAATTACTTGTGCTTTGCCACATGCTTTCACAGAATCTCAGAGTCACTGAGGCTGGAAAAGACCTCCAGGATCATCAAGTCCAACCTGTGACCCATCCCCACCTTGTCAGCTAGAGCAGATCACTGAGAGCCATGTCCAGTCATGCCTTGAACACCTGCAGGGGTAGTGACTCCATCACCTCCCTGGACAGTTCCAATGCCTGACAGCCCTTTCCATGCAGAAATTCCTCCTGATGTCCAACTTGAACCTCCCCTGGCACAGCTTGAGGCTGTTCCCTCTCGTCCTGTCCCTTGTTCCCTGGGAGCTGAGCCTGACCCCACCTGGCTGCACCTCCTGGCCGGAGCTGGAGAGAGCAGAAGGTTCCCCCAAGCCTCCTCTTCTCCAGGCTGAGCCCCCCCAGCTCCCTCAGCCTCTCCTCATGACTGACTCTCCAGAGCTCTGCTCAGGAGGCCAGGGATGTTCTCCAGAATCCGGAGCCCTCCCTCCCTTGCCATCTGGCTGAGCAGCACAGGACAGGAGACACAAATCCTCCCGTTAATTACACTGTGCATTTTATTATCTCACCTCAGATTTGGCTGTTAATCTCTCTTACAGATTTCGTTTACATAAGTGGAGACTTTTAGCTTCAGCAAGCTCCAGCACTTGCTCTTGTGATGCTGCAGATATCAGACAGCTGAAAGGGAAAGGGAGGAAGGAACGTGTCCTTAAATTTGTCATTCAGTCTTTCTGGGGGGGTAGATATTGCCTCCCCCTCCTCATCTCCCCAACTAAAAGCTCAGAGAGAAGTTGAAATCAGCACAGGCAGAGCAAACAACCCCCATGGGCAGAGCAGGACCCTCTTACCTGGGCTTAGACACCCCAGACAAGGCAAAGGTGCAGAGACAACACCAGTGAGACCCATCCCACCACCCTCAGTCTAACAGCTGCCTAACACGCTGCCCCTGGATATTTGCTGCTGCAATTCCCACACACTAAGAGCAAAACTCAAAGGGAAAGGAGGATTTGCAGCTAATGGGAGTGTAATTAAGTGCTAGTGTTAAGCCCCGTGCAGGGAGAGGTGCTCAGAGCTGGCTGCAGGTGCTCAGCTGCCTCGCAGGTGCAGCTGGAGTTATCAACTCTGTTGGAAATTGCTCCCTGAAGACTGAGCAGTTCTGGGGAGGAGGAGGAGGAGGGAAGTGGGAAGCAGCACCAAGGAGAGCTGCTGGGAAGGAAGGTTTGTGCTGCTGCTACAGTCAATATCAGCTCTAGGGCACAGGCGAGGGAATAACCTTCCCAGAAGGATGCGCACGGGAGTGGTTGGGATCTGAGGGCTGTGTAGAGTGAGCAAACATGACACAAAAGGCCTTCTGGGGAATATAAATATCTCTGTGCTGATGAGCTGGTGAGAGGAGGGAAAGGCAGAATTCCCAAGGCAGAAATCAACCTCCTGACAGTACCGTCTGGGGTGTCCTGTAACAGCTCTGCCAGCAGTTTCTCCAGGTCATGTTGGTATTTTTCCAGCTGCCTTGGTGTGAGCCACAGCCCAGCCCTGATGGGAACAGCCTGCTGTGGAGGAAGCCACATGGAAAAGCTGAGGAGAGCAGAGGGAGGCAGGTTGGGGTGCTCTGACTCCACTTGGATGGAACAGGTGGAGGGTCTGGGGTGGATTTGGAGGGAAGAGGACGATCCTCACATGGGAAAAGCAACATTTTGAAGGCAACACAGTCTGGAGCTGTTCCGTGCCCAAGTTCCCATTTACTGCATCCCCTCTGGGCTGACTCAGAAGCTCAGATAAAGGAACCTCCTGGCAGCAGGGACTGCAGAGAAAATAATTTCTGAACCTTATAATCCTCACACCTTGACCCTTCGAGCCATCAGCTTCACTGAGGCTGCAGAGCACCTGCCTCAGCACAGGCCTCATCCTGCTCCAGACTGCCCAGCTCAGAGCCAGCTGTGGCTGCACAGGCAGGCAAAGAGTTCCTGTGTTCAAGGGGAAAAGCACAATTTTCAGACCTGCCTAAGCAGGTAATCATGCCTCTGAGGGCTTAGCCTGGTGCTTCAATCCCTAAAATTGCCCATTTTCTGCTCTGTATACAGACTTTGGGGGTGCAGCTGTATGGGCCTGAGTTTATACTGGTCTTGCCAGTGCAGAGATGTTTGGGATCAGAGGTGACACCAGGAGCACACCTGGAGCTGGGTGAAAAAGGGACATGTTAACCCTGGAGCTGTGAGTTCCTGCCCTGCACTTGGCAAAGCCAGACCTTGTGGTGCTCCTAAGGGAGGAGCCAGGTGGGTCTCAGGGGTGACCTGAGTGTCCAAGCTAACTTACAGGGCAAAGGCAAAACCCTTCTCTGGTGCAGCCTGGCTCAGCTGCCTGGCAGGGCTGGCAGAAGACATCTCAGTGTCCTTGTCCCCCTGTGTGTCCCTGTGGGCTCCTTAGAGTCAAATGACCCAACATACCTGGATGGTCTTGACCCTGTTGACATCTGCCCTGGATTGCTCAGAGGATCCTTCCTCATCCAGCTGCTGCAGTGAGCTCAGGGACTTCTTCTGCCCTCCCTTGTGCCGCTCCTTTTCCTGCAGCTTCAGAGCAGGGAGAAAACAGCAGTTGGAGGTGCTGGGACATGGCATGCTGAGGGGCCCAAGCCCACTCTGCACCCTATCACCAGAGGGATGGATGCTCAGCAGCCAGGAATCCACAGTGCTGGGCACAGAATCAAGGGACAGGAGCTCTCACTGCTGCCTGGAGCCAGTGTGGCATCATCCCCAGGGCCATGGCTCACTGGGAAGGGCCTGTTAGCTGTGGCCAGCGTGGCCCTGGGGACTGAAACTCTGCCATGCAGCAGAGGCTGCAGTGCTGGGGTCAGGTCAGGTTACAGAGTGATGTGTGAAGGTCTGTAGTAAACAGCCACACGTGTTGTGGTTGAGCTGTGCCAGGTAACGCCATCAGCAGGACATGGGAGCTGAGGACACTGACCTTACCGAGCTGCCCCAGAGACCTGGTCCTGGTTGTGTTCTGTAGCACTGAGCAGTTGGACTGAGCCCTGCATAGCCACATTGCACGTGGAGAGCTCTGTGCCCTCCTGCAGGTCAGTCCCTTCCCATTCATGGGGCTAAACTTGGCTTCAGGGCTCTTCCTTTCTTCCCAGCCCGAAAGAAAAAGGCAGCGAAGCTTTGGAGTCTGACAGATGTAAAATGTGGTGAAGGCTGTGCTCAGTGTCTCACTGACACTGGCTGGGCATGTGCTTTGGGCTGGACACACACTCAGGGGGGCAGGGACAGCCCTGGGGCACTGATTTCCCCTACACACACCTAGAAGAGTCTCAGTCTGTAGCTGCAAGGGGGGTGATAAATAAACAATCAACCTGGGGACCATGTGTGGTTCACCATCCTTCTCCTGAAGGATGGAGGACAACTGCTCCCCCCTGCCACCCAGGGATAGGTGCTGAGGTGGGATTTCTCCATCCCCTCTGCTGTGCTGCAGCAGCTGCAGGCTCTGAGCCTGCCTGACACCTTCCAACAGTATTAGTTTCACATCAAAAGAAGAACCGTTCTGTGTGCACATCCCAGAGGTGACAACCACCCGGCGGATGGTTAATTATTTGTTACAACAAAAGACCCATCAGTATGTGATGGGAGGCTGCAGCTTCTCTGGGAAAGCAGAGCCACTGGCAGGGAGGGAGGGAAACCAGCCCCGGGGGCTGCAGGGGTAACCCCCACAGGTCTGTTAGGCCTCGTGGGGGGGTCCAGCCTCCTCCTTTCTGGTCTCACACCTCAAACACTGTCTGTGCTGGCCCACAGCCCTGACCTCTGGGAGGGTGCAGGACACCTGTGTGTGTGTCTCCTGCTGGTGGGAAGGGCAGTGTGCCCCAGCAGACCGAGGGAGGAGGAAGAAACACCTTTCTGGTTTATCAGCATGTTGTGGAGGGGTTACCTGCATTTTCTGGAAGTCACTGTGGGTGAAGAAGGGCATGAAGCCTTCGGTCTGTTCAGCCAGCAGAGACACCATGTAGACCAGGAGCAAACTGGCCACCACCTTCCTTGAAAGCATCATGAGAGTCTGAACGACACAGGAAAGAAGACACCAGGGCAAGTGTGGAGAGCGACATTTGGCCCAAAATCCCTTTGGCTTTGCATCAGCTGCAATCTAACTTATCCCCCAGCTAACCAGAGGTATATTTACTCTTCCAGCTGCTCCTGAGCTGAGAATAGAAGTGTCTTGACTGACAATTCTCTTCTCAAACCTGTTTCTGTAAACAGATTTGTTCCTGAGCAGTGTCTCCAGGGACATCCAGCCCAGCCCTTCAGCACTGCTCAGCCCTCCAGACCCACACACCCCCAGCAAAACGCTCCATCCATCCCACTGCCAGCACGGGACAGAGAGGCTGCTGAGGGAAAAAACCCTAAGACAGTTGTTTTGCGCATTTTGGTTTGGTATTCCTCACCCCTGGGAACCTTCCCTGAAGGGCTGGATCTCTTAAGAATCCTCATTGGGTCCAAGAGAGCTGGAAAGGCATTTGCCTGCCCAGCTCTATATGAGCCCGGAATAAAGGGCTTTAAAAACCACCTGCTGAAGTGGTTTCGCTGTGACTTCACGTCAGGACAGGACTTATGTAAACATTAAATGTTCTCTTTAAATATTCAAATATCTTCCCTGGACAGATTGAATGAAGTTTTGTCCCACAGCTTAACTACTCCACCTGATTGGAGCCTGGTCCTTAATTAGTTTCAGAAACCTCTTGGTTTGGACATTATTGAAAAGACATTGTTAGGTCAAATTTGGCTCTTGAATTAGCTTTCCCACAAATATCAGTTGGTCTTGAACCAATGGCCAGTGGAGGTTGATAAATATTCCCTTTCCATAGCACCTGTCAGTCACATCCCTCTGCCGTGTGCCGGGGCAGGGAGGCTGATGTTAGCTGAGGTGGCTGTAGCTCCTCTCCTTTCCTCCCTTGGCACTGCTCAGGGCAGCACTGGTGCCATCTCCCCCTGCCCACCCACACTGGGGCACCAGAGCCACCACCTGCACTGGGACATCACCCCCACGTGGCACCAATGATCAAGGCAGATTTCTCAACTCTTCCCTCGCAGTGCAATGTGTTACCTCCTTAGCACCAATCCTTTGTGCCTCTTCATTTGCTCTACCACTGCAATAAAATACTGCTGTGTACAAAGAAATAAACCTGTTCACCTCCTTCATCTCTGCCTGACTATCCCTTTGGGAATGGATTCTCTCCCTCTTCCCCGGAGAAACACCTCCACACACTTCTCCAGTCAGAAAACGTCGTTTCTGCATGTCCCTCCCTTACTTAGCAAGCAGGACATGTATCCCAGCCCAGAGATCTGTGGCTCGGAGCCTCTCCAGGCAGTGTACTTTGTTGCTAGTGAATTTTCCCCCCAGCTCGGGGGGGAGGCACAGAGCAGGAGGCTGCAGAGCTCAGCACCAGTGCGTGGGGACGGGCACAGCACTGCCAGCTCTGCTCACCCCCTGGGATGGGGTGAAGTGCAGAGGGAGAACAGCTGGTGCGTGAGCACAGTGACAAGACGGGACGTTTATCTACCCAGCTGTCTCCCAAAAATTCCAATCCTTCCTGTCGACAGGAACTGTCTGTGACTCATTTCTGCCTGCTCAGAGCAGCTCCCTGAGCGCAGAGGGCTCTGGGGCAGCACTCCTCACTGTCTGCTGGGTGCCCAGGGCTAGCAGGGAGGCAGGAGCTGCTGGGATCGATGCTCCTGTGCTGGGGGTGAGCAGAGAGCTCCTTCCCCCTTGTTTCAGCATCGATTTGGTTCCCTCCTCCTCCTCAGAGCTCTCTCTGCTGGGGCCAAGACGTGCCAATGGCACAGCACGTCTGAGTGCCCACGCAGTGCCCACCCCCCAAGCTCCTGGGTGGGAACAGGGACCTTGCACCTACCTGGGGAGTGCAGGCAGGGGATGCTGGAGGTCAGACCTCTTCTCGCTCCCGTTCTCACCTGAGTGCTCTTGCTGACTTTCCCTCCCTTTATATACACGTGCAGGCTCCGGTGTGCAGTCACTTCCCACACAGGTGCCCCCTGTCCAGCTGGCAGGCAGCTCCCTAGTTTGCATGGAAACAGGTTTCCCAGGCAAGGAACATCATTATCTGCATTGGATTTTTGGGAGTCTCTCGTTTCCAGGCAGATCCCCTTTGCTCCCTCCCCAGGTTTGGCCTCCAGGCTGGCAGCTGTTCTCAGTAGGCCCCACAGACATCCTCTGCCCCATCTATGAGATGGAGACATTCTTCTCTCCTGGTTTGCCTTTGTAGATCCTGAGCCCTGTGAAGTTTACATGATGTGAATGTACCAGCAATAAACTGACACCTGTGTCAGTTATATTTCCACTGCAGTTGACAAATCACAGTGGTAACGAAGTTGCCCAAATGAAGGTGATGCAGAGCAGAGCCTGACCCACCAGCAGTGCAAAGCCACAGGTTTAAGGTCATGAACCCCCTAGATCCAGAGCTAAACATTGAAGTAATAAATAGAACTGCATAGGCTAAATCTATCACCAAAGAGCTTTATAAACTGAGCACTCAGTGAGAGACACCAGAGCTGTCCAGGGGTTGGTCTCTCCATTTGGAGTCTCCACGTGGCCCCTTTTCCTGGCACCACTGAGCATCCCCAGCACTGGGCACACTGCTCCCCCTCAGGGAGCCAAACCCTGCACAGACATCTCTCTGCAGACCAACGAGGTGCTGAGAGCGGAGCCACTTGCGTCAGGACTCATCTGTGCTCTCCTGAGACCATCAGACAGGAGCTGCTGCCGGAGGCTTTGGGACCAGGCCAGGCACGTCCCGGCGTGAGAAGGAACCCGAGAGCAACCAGGCGAGAGGCAGGAGGGAAAACGAGTCGGGAAGCAATGAAATCCTCCTGCATCCCTCAGCTCCACGGCCGTGAGAGCAGGGGCAGAGCATTCAGCTCGGGCAGAATGTGGGAGATACGGGGAGCAGATTGCCCAGCCCGGGCAGTGACATCTGTCTCCTCGCTCTGTCGATAGCACACGCACACAGCACACGAGGTGGGGCCTCGAGGGACCTGCTGCTGTCACAGCAGTCAATATCGCTCGATTCGGGCCAGGAACATCCCTAAAAACGTGTCGGTCACTAAGGAGCTTCCCAGACCCACGTGCACTCACCGCAGTTATCACCAGGCAGTGGAGAGCCCTGGGCTGTACAGCTCCCAGGGACGATGGCACAGCTTTCCTCCCTCTGTGTGTGGTGACCACAGGAGCTCACACACCCCCAGCAGTTCCCCTCCCTTTTCCAAAGCGTTTGCACAAGCCACACCTGACACCGGTTCCCATTTTAATTGACTTTTCCAGCCCTCTCTGCATGGCTGTGATGGATGCAGCTGACGAGTCAGCAGATGGTGTTGAGAAGTGACAAATTAGTGACCAAGAAGGGTCACTTTTCCAAAGCACTAAACTTTCCCATGTCTTGTCCCCTTGTCCCTCCCTGGCAGGTTTCCATCTGCCCTCCACGGAGCCTTCTGCCTCGGGAAGGACAACCTTCCAAATCAAACAGGGAGATGGGAATTAATCATACCTGTATTAGCTGCAAGCTGCCTGCCAGCCTCACCTCTTAATTATGCAGGAGTGCTCCAAGGGGAAGGAGTCGTGGAGCTGCAAATGAGGGATGTGACTCTGAGCTGCAGTGGAAGTGCCAGGGCAGGTGGGAGCAACAGGCCCCGCTCGGCTCTGGCTGTGCCCAGTCCACAAACGCAGCTCTTGGCACATCCTCTCGTCACTGCAAAACCAGGATAAATGGCAACAAACCCTCCTGGCTGGAGATGTCCCTGCCAGCACTGGAATGCACACCCTCCATCCTGCTGCAGCCCTGGCACAGTCTGCATCCTGCAGCCCCCAAAACTCCCCTGCTTTGTGGTGCCAAATCGCAGCAGAGGTTAGAAGCTCGACAGAAATATGATGTGCAAAATGGGGCTGTGTGCAGTTCTGCTCGTTCCTAAAGTTAAATGTTGGTGTAATTGGGAGCAATTTTCCCAGGAAACTGGCAGTGGAAGTGCAGTCCATTAAGCCGTGTATCAACTGCAGTGTCAAGGAACCGAGGGGGAACGAGCTCCCTGTGCCAGCAGCACTGAACATTTGTCTCCATGTCCTGTGCTTTCCCCTCCAAGCTGCTCCAGGCTCAGGATGTTTGGCCAGTGGCTGCAGAAAGGCAGGAGATCCGAGCCAGGATGGGTCTGAATTTCAGCTTGGAGCCTCTGCAGCAGTGGAGAGCACAGGGTGGGAGTGGGGAGGAGTGAGACCCCATGCTCCTGCTCTGGGCAGGCACGGGGGGGTCCCCAGCAAAGCTTCCACTTTGGGGGTGTCAGAGCCCCAAGAGCCACCGTGGGCCACACCACCCTGTTCCCCCACAGCCCTGACAGACCCACAGCAGCCACCAGCTTGGGAAAATGTGTCCTCCAGCCCCAGATCCCCTTCCTGGAGCGCACAGGAATCTGTCTCACCCCACTCACATTCAGTTACTTTTGCCTCCCATAACAATCCTCTTTCATTGGAATTAAAACCCCTCATTTTTTCTAATAAAATTAATTCCCATACTTATAAAAACTTCCTATTCCCTCAGGCAGGAAAACATAAACAGGAGAGAAATGTTTCCTTGCTTCATTTCTCTACATTTTTGGTCACTCCTTTGCCATCCTCTCCCTGCCTGCGAATTGAAGAGAGAAAGGAGAGGAGGTGAGAAAACACGATGGGATGCAGCTCAGCTGTTCCCATTTTGGCTTTCAAACCCAAGGCACCGAATTTTCACTTGGAGGCTCAGGAGTATTTTTAGGAGTGGCAGAAAATGCAGCCTGAGGCACAGTGAGGGGCTGTGTCTGGCTCATCCCACAGGGCTGGGTGCCCTCCCTGGGTGCTGGTGACCCCAGGCAGGCGATGGGAGACCCTAGGACCTCCCATAATCCAAATCTCGAGCTCAGAGGAAGGGAAATCACTCAACATTTCAGCCCAGGAGCTCCCTGCCCTGCTCACAGGGAGAGTTATTAGATTTGATGAAGAGCAATTCAGTCTTTACA